ATATGATTTATGAATTTACCCCCATTTTTGTTTTCCACCAAACACCTGGATTCCCGCCAATAATAGCAGAAGCAGTGAAACTAGTAAAACATTGGTGGGCACTTGCGCAATCACTACACAAGCCATGAGCTAACAATGCCCCAGTAGACCTTTTCTTCCAGTGGATGGATCTTGTGATAACGAGTTATCTATCAAAGGTATAGATTCCTCATTATTGAGAATTGGTGATTGGAGGAGGGATGGGACGAGCATAATCGATCTGGGAGAAAGACTTGAGATCTTGAATTCTGATATCAACGACAATGATTCTGATACAGTTGAGTTTGTAGATCAAAATTGAAACTTCTAATTACCATGAAGAATGAGTTGACTTCATGATACCTGAAGCCATTTCCTCCCCCGGCTGGCTGGCTTAAAAAAAAAAAAACCCCTCCTTTGGGACGATATCATAGCCTCTCACTCGGTCAAGACTTGATATTCGCTTATATTGCCACCCCCTATTATTGCGCCACATGTCGATCTCCTAGCATTAGCGTGATTCCCAGTTTAACCAAATAATGCGGTATTGGGAGTGCCTCTCTCTAACTAGCGCCCCTATTAATACCTCAACCTCTTGGTATCGCCTGCCCCAAACACCTGTTGGCTTTCCTCGCCCGCTGCCACAATCACTGATTTCTTCGAGTGTATGAGTACGCCACGTTTTGGGCGAGCACAGGCTCCTGCGTAACTCGGAAACACGAGTGATCACCCATGACGAATGTTAACAGATTTTCACAGCTTGGCTATATGGTGCCGGCCGTCTATAACGCGCACGAAGTGTCGGCACCAAAAGGGCTCTTGATGTTTAATATTAATTGTGCAGTCCACATGAGCAGAATATTAACGGTAGAGGGGGGGATGGGAATTATTGAAAATATACCACTCTTAGGCAAGTTATAGTTCAGCGTAGCACGTAGATCACTTGGTATGGTATGATACAGTGGAAGCTGCCAGGCCAGGACGACCTTGGTACCAAACAGTCATGGGCAGCCTACTGGTGTGTTCCCACTAGGATGTTAAGTTACCTTTCCTAGTAGGATTGGTAGTATTTTCCTTTTTATCCCTTCGTGCGTTTTCAAGCACCATACCATTGGTAAATTTTACCTCGATATGAATTAGCAGGTTCAGGAAATTCTTGGTGGAGGGTTAGGAAACTCACCACCATGCTGATATGACATGTTGGACTCAAGTTAAGTTAGACTCAAGTTAAGGTACCACTGGTGAAGAGTGGTGAATGTTTATGGGTATTCAGATTCAGATACCAAACGTGAATGAGATTGTAAACAAGATTAAAACCCTCTTCCATTTATTTCATAATTTCTATTTCTCCACTCATGAAACTCACTTGCTTCTGAATGTTAGTTACTAATTCTAATATAGTCAAAGTAGTAGGTACATATGCCTTATTGTCAGTGATTTCACTCTAGTAGAAAAGGACAGTATATAATCTGTTACAGTTGGACTTATAAGCAGAGTAACATGTTACAACACTAATTTGATAAAATAATTTAAAAGTCAGAAACTCTCCAAGGATAGTAATAAGTCTTTGTAATACTCTCTTGAAAGTCAGCCAGTATTATAAGCACTTCCATTATAACACGACCTTATCATTCTAGATATATGTACTCAACACTTTCTGATCAGAATTGGTAGAACTGAATGTAAGCTTTTAGAAACTATCTTGCATTTTGCCAAGTTCATTTCTTTATTCTAGCTACTCTTATTTTAATATGTGCATTTCTTTTATTGAAATTACTCCTGCATAATTGTTATTCATAACTGAATCAACTTGAATATTCTTTTTTTTCTTATATTATGTATTTGTTGTTAAGATACAAGAACTCACATGCAGTGTGAGCTATAGCATAAACAAAACTGTAAAGCACGTATCTCTCTTCTCTCTTAAGCAAAAACTGAGAGCCCTAAGCTCATCTAGTATGAAGCCAACCACACATCTTACCCTGAATCAAGCCTATCCTTATAACACAAGCAAACTCAGTTCTAAGAGAAACCCAACCCAAGACAAGCAGGAAGTCATAAGGAAAAATCTAGCCAGAAATCTTGACCCAAAGGCACAAATGAAACTAACTCAATACCCACCAGAAAAGCTCATAGCCATTCTGGTCACCTAAAAGCTAACTTATGAAGTAACTCTTGGTAAGGCAGGTCTACTAAAAATTGGCAGTTCTCCTGCTGAGGCGACAGGAGGCAGAGATTGATTCCAACAGGCCTAAGAAAGTACAATACCGACTGGTAGACAGGACTAGGACTGAGCCTCCCAGGAGGAGAAGAGGGAGACAAAGTGACCCAGTCAGCTTTCCTCCAGAAGGATAAGGGTAGTAGTAATATATTATTCGTTAACAAAAATAACCGACTACAACGAACAGAAAAATAACTTGATCATACAACAACCATCCTCTCACCAACCTCAACATCACAATAACAAAAAAAAATTAAAAAAATGTAAATACATAGTAGAAATCAATATTTAGTATACCATCCATCTACCTTAATAATTGCTTCAATCCTATCCACCATTGAACCTGCTCAAGAATCAAAAATCTTTGTGTCAAGAAGTTCTCAACAAGCAGTAATAGCCTCCTTAATAGCTTTTTTGACCTTATTGTCAGAGCTCTTCATGAGATATAGGTCAGGATAATGCTTCTGAAGATTATCTTTTACCAAACCCTAAACATGTTCAATTGAATTGGGATCTGGTAAATAGGCTGGAATTTCCATAAGAAGAATTTCCTGCCTTCTAAGCCATCTCCTAAAAGGTAAATGAGTCTTAGCATTGTCAATGATAAAGAAAGCCTCTTCTCCCTCAAGATGCTGCTTAATATCCTCCCATATCTCTACAAAGTCATATTGATCATAAACCTCAATAATTTACTTTCCAGTTACTCCACCTCTAGTAGAAGCAGGTTCAGGAAAAACAGGCAAAAAGAGACCATGAGTTTGACTATAAAAAAAACCAGTCATTATCTGGCTAATCTTCCTCTCTCTTGTCCTAGCAGTAGGTTCCACACAATCCTTATTCCACTTCTCTTTTGGGTACCTAAATACCCATTTTCTCCTCTTTCCTTCCCCCCTCTGAACAGCAACCTCATCTCTCCATATTGCTTTCCTCCTCCACATCTCTCTTTTCCAGTGTCTATGAGCTAATGCCTATTCCAATCTCTCCTGAGCTTGATCCTCATCCCAGTGAATCCTCTCTTGTACTAACTACTTTTTAGAATGCCTTTGTGAAAGTCTTCTCTTGCCTGTCATAGAAGAAACATTAGGAGCAATATTTTGGGCAATCTCAAAATAGCTAGTATTACAATTTTCAAAAGCTTCCTCTACCATAGCATCATCCTGTAACTTGGTAGTCTTAGGATATCTTCCTCTATCCTTCCTCTCTTTACTCTCTAAGTCTTTCTTTAAGATTGTGTTTTTGACAATTGTAAGGGAGATGTTGAGGTAGTCAGAAATCTACTAATATCCTATCTGAAGCTCATATAATTTAAGGATTCTCTCCCTAGTAAACTCTGAGAGTTAATGGGTTGGAATAGGCTTTTTTGGATAACTGTAATGAATAGAAAGCATAGTATTTAAAGGGAAAAAAATCATATAATGTAATTGGGTTTTGGTTGAATTGATGCAATTTCTTTTGGTAGGGTTGAAAATGTGAGGAGATGATGGGCAATGATTGCTACGCACCTTGGGTGGTTGGTTATTTTTGTTAACGACCAATACCAGCTGAACGGAGAGGCAGTAGGGTGCTAGCCAGATTTGAGAGAAGATGTAGTAAGGTGCCAGCCGATCAAGCCGTGGTAAGAAGATAGGAAGGGTAGACTCAGATGCTAAAACAACTATCAGAAACATGTTCAAGTCTTAACTAGGCGGCCTTCTTTGGTCCCCAATACCTCCAAGTATATTCCCATGTCTTTCATATAGTCCCTTATTCTGGAAGAGATAGCATTACATAGTGGATGAGATACTACTACCTGTAGAGGGTAGAGAGGAAAAAGGTGTCAAATTCAATGGAACCTTGTTAAAAAATCAAAACCACTTTCCCAAATATTTCAAAAAA